ACTTACAAGGCTTTAACTTTCTATGTTTCTATGTTTGATGTTTTCCACGTCAAAAATACGTTCTCCAGGTTCACCAAATCCAAAAAAGCCAAATTTCCGAAAACATTTTGTCTCGACGCCGGGCTTCAACCGCTTCTGTCTCCACCCAGCTACGTCCTGGCACCACCATCTTTACCGGCAACAAAGAACTTATGTTTACTAAGCGTCCAGCAATCAAACATCATTCACTCTGCGACTTCAAGCGGGAAGTCATCCTCAAATCCAGCTTCACTGCACACCTACGGTAATTAAGAAAGACACTGTCCACTTAATTGTAACTTCTCACCGCAGCACATTTTTAGGGACCCTCGGAAGTTTTGGTTTATCTTTTTGTCATTCTGCATGACTTCCTAGTGACCAAGGCGACACTGTGGCTGAGGGTACACCCTTTGGAGGGACCATGAACACAGTATTCAGGAAGTGAGACCGGGCTTGGAGAAACCAGGCAAGCGAATACAGTCAGAATTCTTTCTGAACCTGATCATCCCACACGCGGTCAGAGTGGGACTTGCTCTCTCGATGGGCATTTACGACAGAAACTACGACACTATAGAAAAAGTGCCAGGGAACCATGCCAGCAAGAAAGAAGAAGGCAGCAAAGAGAAGAGACAAATGAAAGCATCAGGTAACACAGATTGGAGTCTCGGAAGTTCAGGGTTGAGCTCCTTACACTTAGATTTTCATTAACTGGCTGCAAAAGGTAAAACGTCTTAGAAATCCTCTAACTTGGGGAAATGCAGCAAGCACTAAGACAAAATTAGGTGCTGTCCTTTTTACAACAAACTTAAATTCAATATTCTGATATCATGACTTAGACAAATTAGGAAATTTCTTGCAATCATTTTCAAGTATGTATAGAAAAGAGGGAGTGAAATCTAGACTAATCTGTGGTAAAATGTCTATACTGCTGTAATTTTCATAGAGACAGAAATAAAGATCATTCTACTTAGCTTCTTTGAAATAAATGCTAAAAGTAAGTACTTATAAAAATGAAAGAGCAATACCTGAATTAAAATTATTTTAAATCTCTGGTTAAAAAACAAGCATCCGCTGATATTTTCGCGGTAAATAATATCTGAGGAGGTCAATCACGAAACATTCCCTCACGTGCTGAGGATCAATGGGGGTAACGCAGGAGGAACCAGAGATGGTACTTGGGAACCAGCATATGCTCAGTGAGGTTATCCTTTTTCACAAGTCTGGAACCAAAGGGACTTTTTCTAAGTAGGCTCCACGCCCAGTGTGCGGCTTCAACTCCCGACCCCGAGATCAAGAGTCACATGCCCTACCGACTAAGCCAGCGAGACCCCCCAAAAGGATTCTACTACCAACGATAAATAGTATAACACCTGTACGACATTAAGAGTCAAATCAAATCATAATTTATCATGGTCCTCAAACCAGCTCCAAAACATCTGCTTTGCTTCCAACGCCTCTTATGAAGTATCGGTGGCAGACACTGCCTGTCACCTAAGTAGTGGCATTTGTCAGCTGAAGCCCCAAATCAGTGGCCCAGTAGGTTTTGCCTTACTAAAAGGAAGAAGAAACACAGAGTACTCGGAAAAAAAACAACACAAGTGTGAAGGATGATTCCTGCTCTGTTGTTTAACCAAGGTATGCAGAGAAAAAAGATCCGGATGAGAGCATAAAAATACTGACAGTGATTACTGCTGTAGAGAGAGATCGATGGGCCATTCCAATATTTCTTCTTGGCATGGTTTTATGCATTTGGATAAATCCTCTACTACTGTTCCCAGTAAACATTTTTTAAAGATAATTTAAACAAAAGAGGCAACATGTAACTGTAATGCAGGATTTTTGAATTCTACCCATATCCAACTATCAATTTAATAAGCAATCTGACAGACTTTTTACTTCTAAATTCCTTTCTTTGGAGTAGGCAGAGTTCCTGAATTCAAAAACAAAAGACCTATTTATGAACCAAGAGACGTCTTTAGAATTTTCCAAGTTGCTCCCTTTTGTCGGCCCCTCCCCCGCCACCATACATGAAAGCAGTAACAGGTTTTTACCCTTACGCACACTTCCTAGTTAAGCAAATAACCATATAACCCCAAACCTCCAAAATGCGGGAGGCAGGGGAGTAAGGGGTGGAGGGCAGGGAGGAGTAGGATTTCCAGAGGCTTACATCAATTCAGGATGGAGGGAAATGCAATTTTTCTTACAAGTGGCTCCTGATACACCTTGTAGCCCGAACTGTTTTTACAGAGACCTGTGGCGATCAGCTGTGCCTTCTGCAGAGTAATTTAACTACCGAACAGCTGGGAGGAGAAACAGATTTAGTGGAAAAAAGCACCATGCCGACTAACAACGGTGTCCATATTAAACTCTGTATTTTGTCTGAGTCGGAGTTTGGGTCATGTAAAAGTGAAACTGACCCAAGAGAAGAGAACGGTTTCTCACAGATTGCCATTTAAATCTCAAAGGACCATGTTTCACAGCATGCTCAATACCTTTCAGCATGTAACTGCATTTTAATTTCCTAAAACCACAGGACATAAGTCTGATTTCAAATAGTGTCTGGACTGTGATACTCAATACTGATAAAACTGTACGGTGTTCTCTTGCAAGTTCCAAAGACTCGGCATACGGAAAAGGATCTTCCTTTTCTTTGAAGAAGAAAACTTAGTCCTCTGACTTTTGTAAATGGATTCTGAACAATGAATATGTTAAGACCTAGAGCTTATGCTGTAAGAACTGGAATGTAACAGATTACAGGAGAAAAGCATGTCGTGCACACCCTCCACTCGCCATGGTGTAGTCCCGTCGAAATGAGACTTCAAATTTTCTTTGCCATGAAATGCTCCTCAGTGCTAACTTCAGAAAATGAATTTGAAGTCTATTAACATGAATAAATCTTTACTTGAATGTTCAGTGCATGGAAATTATTCAGTTACCTTTTCAGCTTTCTACAACAGACAGAGCCTGTGGTTGGCTTAATCTCCAAATAGTATATAAGAGAAGCAACCTTCTCTTATATAGATCCAGGAAAGAAAAAGGGGGACGGTGAAACTGCGTCTTAAGTTTGGGAGTCAGAAACCAATTCGTGATCATTTTTATTTAGTTGGCAGGAACTTATCCACTTTTGTATGTGAACGTGAAATAATGCAGTAAGACGGTTAGCTGTTCTCACCAGAAGGAAATGACTCTGAGCTGCCCTTGAGAAAAGCTAAAAAGGAAAAAACAATTTTTTTGAAGGGACATCAGGTAAGTATTTGCTTTCCTCTGAACTACCACTGCCTTCGCTTTGAGCCTGACTCAAACGCTGACAAATTCAGTACGGCTGTCCGTAAGCAACGCGTCTGTCTGTCTGATCAGTCAGGTGTAATTCTACTTAAAATGAAATAATGAAATGCTGACAATCGGAGGTGCAGAACTATAAAGCCCTGGTTGTTCTACGAACCCTAAATGTCTAGGAAGCCTGGGGTGACCTCGGGGTGTCTGGTGTAGGAGTCAGGTGGGTCCCTATGGCCACTTGTTCATCAGATTCTAAGGTATCACCATGTGTAAGAAGTGCCCACTCTTGATAGCATAACAGCTTTTCAAGGAGATGTCAAAATACAATGAAGCATGAACCAATTTTCCTTTTTTGGAAATAAAAACCCTCATTTGTGGCGGGGGGCGGGGGCGGGGGGTGGTAAAGAACACACATCCTAGAACAGAAGAAATTCCTGCATTTCTTTGCTTGTCCCTTTGTCTTCCTATTTGATCTTTCCATTTACTCCCTGCCCCTCCCCCGGCCTTTCCGTTTCCCTTTTCTGATTTTTCTCCAAGCTTAGACCACGGGTGACTAGACAGAAAAAATGTGATTGTTAACTGTGCACCGGGCGCCTCCTCTGGCAGACGTCAGTGAGGCACAGGGGGAACACCCAGGAACTCCAGTCTGAGGAAAACACACATGGGGAGTCGATGCCCACCACGAGCACCACAACTCGCGCCTGATGGACGAAGCCGCAGGGGAACGCAGGGAGGGTGAGAAAGGCTGCTGAAAACTGAGCGAGATCTAGACAAAAGGGAGGTGACTAGAACTGCGTCATTTTTCTGGAGACAGGAATCAGAGCAAATAAAGGCAAATGCAGGTGAAAGCCCGTGGCACAGTCTACGGGACATCGCGTGCTCATTTGCCCAGCCATCGCCAACCCAGCAAGACGAGGGGGCTATCCTCAGTGTGCCTGTCTTACTCTAATCTTCATGACAGCTCGGCAAGGTAGGTTCTATATTATCTTAATTCTGAAGGTCAGGAATCTGAGGCCAGGAAGATCATGAAATTGCCCAAGGGCACACGATTTACAGGCTGATGATGGAGCCAGGATCCACCTGCAGGGAGTCTGACCCCAGGCTGTATGTGCAAGTGTCTGTGCCTACCACCAGTGCACAGACTATCCAAATGGGGAGTACCAAGAGATAAGACATGGCTAGGGCTGGACTGCGTGTGCAGGAGGTGGAAGAAGGGATGCGAGAGGAGAAGCACCAAAGATGTAAGAAAAAGTCAAGAAAGTATTGTCAACAACAACAAAAGTATGGTCACAAAACCCATCCCAGCCTGTTGGCCTTCGGGAAACCATTCCCCGGCCTTGTTCAGTCAAACTGGTCAGTATTTCTATCTTCTTTACCTAAATTAAACAGTCTAGGGAAGAATTTTTATGCACTGTGACAGCTGTAGCAGAAACGGAAGGTGGTACCAACGCTCAAAGTAGAAGGAGATGGGTTAGTAAGGAGCAGAAGCACATGAGGTTTCTGCATTTATTTCCAGAAGCGAGAGTGTTGTGTGTGTGCACATGTGGCATCTCCCGGTCTCACACAGACATGTGTGCGCGCACACACACCATATACATTCTACGATAGATGAAAAGCTACCTGGACCCTATTAAGAGCCAAAGCCACACACAAGGAACCTAAAAACAATGCCAAGGATTTTTGGCAGAGCTCTGCTCCAAACGTACCTGCTTCTGGGTCCCGGTTGAAACGGCAGTACTTTGAGTTCTCAAGTGAAGGCAGGCACTGTTCGATGGGCACCCAAACATACGTCTCAGGACACAACAAATCAGAAGGTCTATACTGACCCTAAAGAGAAGTGAAGGAACAAGAACACAGGCTTTACAAACACAGTAACTTCCTGGTTACAAGGCTCCAGAGTTCCAGGAAAGGTTTTAATCACAAATTTAAACAAAGTCAACCAGAAACAGCTTTACTGTAAATACTAGCTGTCTCTAGTAACTGCTTTCCTGTCTCAAGAATGCACATTTGATTCAAAAGCTCTCTAAAAGCAATGCGTCACTATTTGTGATGCCTGTATTGATGTGGAAGATTCGAGTTTCTACTTCCTTTTGGAAGAAATATTTAATATATGATTCTTGCTGAGCTGACTGCAAAGAATACCCAGTTTCAAAATCAAAGTGAAATGTCTTTTCATATATGAAAGCATAATTTATATATGGAGTGAACTCGTTTTCAAAAATGAAATTTTAGAAGTTTTTAATTTGTAGATTTAGTTGATAACACTCATTCCATTCCAATGTACTAAAAACTACTGTTTTGTCAAGAAACTTTCATGAACAATCTAAACTGATATATGTAAATAAAGTTTAAAAAACATTACAGAAATTTTAGAGAAACGTCTATAATTCTCTAGCTTCTTCAAAAATGCCATTTTGCAAGAATGTTTTATATATTTATAACCCAATTATGTACCCCAAGTCTAAAACAAAGACTACACACGAGATGCTGAAGAAAAAAAAAATCATTTGCCCACAGGTACAAATTATGTGAAATCATTTAGTGAAAAATTTCAGGAGTACCAAAGTTAGTTAAAAATTCCAAATATCTCTTCTCTAAAACTGCAAACTTCAAAACTCATTATAGAGGTTAAAATCCAGTGCGGTGTCTCCCAATTCTGCTTGGTACAACCCATAGTAAGAAATACACTTCACGCCACAACCTAGTAAGCACAAACACAAATATAGAACTAGAAACAAACCTTTTACTATAGAACGCTTACCCGTGTTATGTAATCTTTTATTTCCTAACCTACTCCATTTTGGTTTTTTTAATGATGCTCCTGAGCCATAAAAAATGCTTTTATGAACGGCAAATGGGTCACAATTTCAGAGTTTGAAAAACACTATCGAATGCCAAACGCTCTACAAAGAATACCGCTGTTATGGGCTCCACACTGTCACATACCTTTATGTCAGACCGGCTCTCTGTAACCGGCCCGCTACGTGGTCACCGTATGAAGCCCCACTCACATGTACAAGAAACACCACACCCCCCAGTATTCAAAGCAGTCAGAAGTCCACAAGCTAACGGGGGAGACCGTACAGAGAGAGTGTGTGCAAACTAGTTTCTTCTTGAGAAGCCGGGAGAGAGTTCAAGAAGGATATGGAGTTTTATTGCGGATTTAACAGACTGACTGGAGTTAAGTCCAGGGCAGGATGAAAAGGAATGAGAACAGTCTAGATGAAGGGAACAGTAAAAACAGAGACGCAGAGTTGCAAGATCACCCTGAGGAACAGGAAATAGCGGGGCATTGCAGAAATGGAGACGTAGGTTGGGACCAGATTCTGTGAAGCCTCAGAATTCAAGTTTTGAACTCTATTCTGGATGAAATGGGAATGCTTGCTGGACAGGAGGAAGACCAGAACTCAGGTCTATGACCCTGCTTTTTCCAGACTGTTCACTGCCCTGCTGATGCCTCACCGCCCTGGCACGGGCAAGGTCATCCATAGGGGCAGCTCACCAGGTGGTGCACATATTCGTCCAACATGAAAATTCACAACACAGGATTATTTGAGATGAATGAATAATTAGTAGGTGTAATAAAGCCCAATATTCAATGATACCTATCTTGTTAAAAGCAAGATTCATTCAGAAAGTGTTTTCTTGGTGGAAAGCAGCAGCATGATGTGACAATGTCCTTATCAACAAATCTGAAAAACTAGCAGTCTAAAAGCACTGGGTCTAAACCTTTTTTATTTTCCTTTTGGGTTATAGACCATTTTGAAAGCCTGATGAGGAGGAAAAAGCTAAGTTTAAAAAGCTAAGCATAGTTCTACAGAAAAAGAAAAAAGGAGTAAATTTTCTTCACCTTGCAGTATACAAAGATTTCTTAGTGCACAAAAAGCATTAACCATTAAAAACAACAACACTAATGAGCTGGACTTCATGACAATTATATACTGCATTAAAAAATTAAGAAAATAAATAGGGAGCAGGGCACCTGGGTGGCTCAGTCAGTTGAGCGTCTGACTTTGGCTCACGTCATGATCTCACGGTCTGTGAGTTCATGCCCCGCGTCGGGCTCTGTGCTGACAGCTCGGGGCCTGGAGCCTGCTTCGGATTCTGTGTCTCCCCCCCACCCCGTCTCTTCCCCTCCCTTGCTCACGCTCTCTCTCAAAAATAAACATTAGGGGCGCCTGGGTGGCTCAGTCGGTTAAGCGTCTGACTTCAGCTCAGGTCACGATCTCACGGTCCGTGAGTTCGAGCCCCGCGTCAGGCTCTGGGCTGATGGCTCGGAGCCTGGAGCCTGCTTCCGATTCTGTGTCTCCCTCTCTCTCTGCCCCTCCCCCGTTCATGCTCTGTCTCTCTCTGTCCCAAAAATAAATAAAAACGTGGGAAAAAAAATTTAAAAAAATAAAATAAAAATAAATAAACGTTAAAAATAAACATTAAAAAAAAGAAGAAATAGGCAAGCGAAAGACTAAGAGAAAATATTAACAAAACATATATTAGAAAACACAGCTGTATCTAAAACGTATCAAAAATTTAACAACTCAAGAATAAAAAAATCATTTTTAAAAAAGCATCAAATATATATGAATATAAATGAATGCTTAGTAAGTACCTGAAAATATATTCAATATCAGTTACCAGAAATGCCATTAAAACCATAATAACATACCACTGCATAACCACCAGAATGGCTAAAATTAAGCCATTAATTTTAAACTGAATAACAAGCTTTGGCAAGGATCTGGACTATGTAGAACTTGGATATTGTTGGTTTAAAACGGTAGAACCATTTGGGAAAATACATTCTTGGACATGTATCATCTGTGAATATGTCCAGGATAAATTCCTTGAATTGGAATTGATGGCTGTAAGGGTTTTTATGTTTTATTAGCCCAAAACTATTTTCCACTGAAGTTGTGCCATTTTACATTTCCATCAGCAACATACGTACACAGTGCTAACTTCCTCAAATCCTTACCAACACAGCCTATAATCAAAACTTTCAATCTCTGCCAATCTGAGAAATGGCATTTCATTGTGGTTTGAATTTGCATTACATGGCATTCCATACGTTGAAAGGATCTGCATTTCCTTTTCCATAAAGTTGGACCCCTCTGTGGTTAGATTTCTGGTTTTGTTATTTGAAAAACTCTTTATATATTAAAGAAATTCACCCTTGGTTTGCAAAATATGTTGCACTTCCCTAGCTTATCTATCTTTTGGCTCTGTATGGTATTTTCTTTCACCATGTGGAAATCTGATAAGTGGTCAAACATATCATTTGTTAAAACAGTGTCTAAGTTTTGCAATATAATTTTAAAAAGTCACTGTCACTCAAATATTATAAAAACATTTACATGTTCTTTTCAGTACTTTTATGGTTTCATAATTTTACATTCACATGTATGCTCCATCTGGAATTTATTGTGGTGTAAGGTATAAGAAAAGGATCTAACCTAATTTCTTTCAGATGTTTACCAAGTGGCCTCAACATCATTTTAGAACCGTTGTTTCCCCCGCTGATTTAAACGCCTTTTTGATAACTTACTAAATTTCCATATATATTTAGATCTCTTTCAGCACTTCCTATTTATTTAGACACTATCTGTCTATTCATGTACCAATGCCACACAGTTTTAACTATTAAAGCTTGATATTGTATTTTAATCTCTAGTAGATCTAACCATCCCCCTACGATTGCTCTTCACATGTGCAGAATTTCCCGGCTCTTCTTGGGTAATTTTTCTAAAATTCTGTACTTAGGGGGCAGGGCGCCTGACTGGCTCAGTCAGTAGAGCGTGTGACCCTTGATCTCAGGGTTTTGAGTTCAAGCCCCATGTCGGGTACCGTAGAGATTACTTAAAAGACAGAATCTTAAAAAATAAAATAAAATAAAATAAAATTCTGTACTTAGTACAAAAATATTACCAATATGAACAAGGAAACAGTAATAAAAACGTTATGGTGTATCTTGTCTGTTGTGATGGAGGGACACAGAAGCAGAGAATCCCAAGAATGTCTAGTAACAAAATAGATGCAGATTCATCCACAGACACCTGAACCCAATGTCTGCCTTTAACGATGACAGTGACATTCAAAACCAGTCACTGACCACGAAATGGATCCTCACTGTGCGGCAGACGCTGGGCGGCTGGGAACAGAATGATGAACAAACAAGTGCCTCTAGGTAACTCACCATCTCCTGGTAGCGACGGACCAGGACAAAGACGAAGCGCATGCCAGGATATAGCAAGTATGATTGAGTACAGGGGGTCAGGGTTTCCAAAATGTCACGTTCTTTTCAGGCAATACTTGCTCACAACAGTGGGTCGGATATTTTCTTTTTAACTCTTTAAATACTTCATTTATCTCACTGAAGAGTCACAAATGAATACATTTTGACTTCTGCTCATCATCCGAAATCAAGTGTTTAGATTAGGTTAAGACATCCTTTTTCTCCAAAGCATAGGCTTATCTCAGGGCTTTGCAGCAGCTATTCTCCTGAGCCACCAAAGAATACAAAGAGTTTTATGAAATAAACCACTTTGAAACATTATGCTTTCTAACATTTCTAACATTAGCTGGTTGAGAGTGAGGGGAGGGAAGTACTTAAAGCTCCACTGAAAGTCACCGTCACACAAATGAGAAACGCGAGGGCCTGGAATCTGCCCTGCCTTTGCAGCTAGTGTGAGAAAATGAGAAATGTCTGTGTTAAGAATGTAATTACTTAAGGATTTAGACATACTTTCCTGTAGTCAGAAGAAAAAATATTTAATCAGCCCCTAAGTACGTTCATTCATACTGGAACAACGAGGCGAAAGCAGATGAATCCT